CGCTGGCTTAAAAGACCTGGTCGACCTTTTGGGGTCGGGCACTTCTTGATGACCTCTTTCCTGATGGCCGCGAGCTCTCCGGAGGCGATGATTGTCGCGGCATGATCGTAGCACTCAACCTCGCACTCATAGGCATCGCTGGAAGGAGGTGTCGATGGTGATGACCCCGCTGGGGCTCGACATCTTTAGCTTGAGGTAGATGTAGTTGGGAACGGCCATGAACTTCGCGTAGAATGGTCATCCCAGGATGGCGTGGTATGTTCCATGGAACCCAACCACTTCGAAGGTGAGGGTCTCCGTCCTGTAGTTGGACGGGCCCCCAAAGGTGATGGGTAGATCGATCTGCCCAAGAGGCATGGCCTACTTTCCAGGTATGATGCCATGGAAAGGCGCTCTGGTTGGTCGGATGTGCGCTCGGTCGACGCCCATAGTGTCGAGCGTCTTGGCGTACATGATGTTGAGGCCGCTCCCTCCATCCATTAGTACTTTGGTGAGCTGCTTCATGCCGACGATCGGGTCGACTATGAGCGGGTATCTCCTCGGCTGTGGGACGCTCTCCGTTGGTCGGTCCGATCGAAGGTTATAGCGGACTCTGACCACCGGAGGAAGGTAGGTGTGGCTAGTTGGTCGTATAGACCTCGCGACGCGTGACCTTTTGCGGCGCTTGGAGTCATAGGCCACCGATCCTCCAAAGATCATGAGGCAGCCATCCGACATTGGAAAGCCACCATCCTTTCCCTCGGTGTCGTCCGTGGTAGGGTCGGGGTCCTTCCCGTGCTCCCCTTTGTTGGAGCCTCTGGACAAGAATTGCTTCATAAGGCCACAATCTTTGTACAGATGCTTGATGGGGTAGGCATGGTTCGGGCATGGCCCCTCGAGTAGTTTTTCAAGTGGTTCGGAGTGCCCTTCATGGGCTTCCAACCACCCCTGCGGTGAGCGGCGACCACGAGCGAGCCCTCACACCGTTGCTTTTTCTTCTTCTTGGCGGAACGATTGGAGATGCATTCGCTCGGCGTCCTCGTCCCGCCTCACCTTGCCCTTGAGGTGGTCGAAGATCGCTCCGATCGCTTCTTCGCCTGAGGCATGGCTGGTGGCGATGTCAAGGAGTTCCTTGGTGGTTTGTGGGCCCTTGCATCCCAACTTGTGAATCAAGGACTTGCAAGTGGTCCCGGACAGGAAAGCTCCTATAATGTCGGCGTCGGCGACGTTAGGTAGCTCTTTGCATTGCTGGGAGAAGCGTCCGGATGTACCCACAGAGGATTTCTTTGGCCTTCTATCGGCAGTTCTTGAGGTCCCATGGGTTCCTAGGGCGCTTGTATGTGCCTTGGAAGTTCCCCACCAAGATCTCCTATAGGTCCGTCCAACTTTGGATTCTATTGGACGGAAGATGTTCCAACCATGTTCGTGCCGAATCGGACAAGAACAATGGAAGGTTGTGGACAATGAAATAGTCATTATCCACTCCACCGGCTTGGCAGGCAAGCCGGTAATCCTCAAGCCATAGTTCAGGGTTCATTTCCCTAGAGTACTTGGGGATGTTGGTTGGTGGTCGGTACCTTGGTGGGAAGGCAGCGTTGAGGATGTGTCGGCCGAAGGCCTGAGGCCCCGATAAGCCGGGGCTTAGGCTTCGATCCTCGCCATTGTTGTAGCGTCCGCCACGACGAGGGTGATAGCCACGGCTAGATCCCTCTCTCGAGTCATCGTAAGCACACTGCGGACGTCAAGGGTGTTGCGTGCGTCACGGTTGCGGATGAGACGCTGACACACTAGGACCGTGGTGCACTGCCTACCTCCTTATGGCTCCTGGTGGACCGACGCGTCCCTGCCGGGGCGCTCTGAGGGCGGGCGCTGGCTAGCATCGAGCTCGTGTCACTGAGACAATGAGCTCTTGGCCTGCTGCGCCGCCACACGCTCGAGCATCGTGCGAATCTCGTGGTGGGCCCAACGATCCTCGGGTGTTGCGGCTTCTGGAAGACCACGGAGCAAGGCTGCCATAGCGGTAATGTTCTGGCTCGCTCGAGCTAAGCGAGGGAGGGCTTCCTCATCGGTGATGATCCACTGGTTCACATCGCGGGCCATGGCGCATGCGCACCCATCATCTCTCGTGGCGCTTGATCTCCCGATCGAGCTCTGCGCATTCCTGCTCGAGCTGGAGTCACGCTTGCTCGATTTCTTGGTGTTGGGTTTTCAGCTGCTCCACCAACATGCGAGATGGGGCCACTGTGTCTCCCTCGGCCTCGTTGTCAAGGTCGTTCCCCAGGGTAGCCTCCTCCTCGTGGATGCTTTCGACGTGTCCCTCTTGGGTACTTGTCATGAAGCATTCACGAGAGGGGTGATGGCTTCCCCTACTGGAGTCAGAGCCAGAAGGAGACTCCGACTCCTCTGCGAGGAGGTCATGGAAAGACTCCGTGACGTGCTCGATCACTCCCACGAACTCGTTGTTCACGGGGGTTGGGACCATGCATTGCGCCACAAGGTGGCCAACGGTCTCTACGGCGTTGCAGAGACCGAACGGGGGCACTGTCGGGGTGCTCCGGATGAGGTATTCTGGAGAGAATGGCTCTCCCCTGGTAAGTTGTGCCATGACATTGGTGCACGAGAAGTGAGGTGGCGCAAGTCCTCCCAGGACGGTTGGGGTCCCAGGAAGACGCCGAGCTGACGCTCCAACCTTCCGTAATCGAAGTCGAGGAGCTGGCCGCTTTTGGGAGCGTGGGCCTCTAGCGCATGTAGCCGCAGCTCCTCGAGCATCTCGGTGATCGCATCAAGGTTGGCGGAGTGGAAGGGTTGAACAACGACGGGCGCCCGCGCTAGCTCTCCCTCCTCCGTGACGATGAAGTCTAGGTCCCCGAAGCGCACGTGTGCGCCCGGGCCCAGCTAGTGCCGTGGCTAGCCATCCGTGGCCTGATGTTAATGTCGGGACGCGCAAAGGCCTCCTACATGGCGGGTCAACTGTTGGATGTTTTGAGTAAACATCAACGAGTAAATTTGTGTTATTGCGCGTCTGGCCCGGATGGTATGCTAAAAAGACACAAGGTTTATACTAGTTCGGGCAGAATGTCCCGACGTCCACTTCGTGGCTACTGCTCGTGTTATTAGCACTAAAAAGTTCATAGTAGGGGTTACAAACGAGTGAGAGAGGGACATGTCTCAAGTCTTTGATGGAAAGATCTAATGGGTGCCGAGAGCTAAGTCACTGCTCCGCTATGTGTTCAAGGTTTGATGCTAGTGGTTCTCTGCTGTGATGTCATGAATCCATCCTCATAGTGGGGTGCCCTGCTTTCCCTTTTATAGGCAAGGGAGAGCATGGATTGCAGATGGGAAAAAAGAGGAAAACGAGAGGCAAATGAAGTCTTCAAGGACGTCGGGTCTTCCTTTCCCTCTGTGCGGGCCCCGCTGACATGGCGGTGATGATGGATGCCCCCCTCGCTGGCGCGATGTCTCTCGCGACCACAGCGGGGCATGGCCATGGTGCTCGTCCGCTGACGATGCCATGTCCTGGCATTATCAGCGGGTTGTCACGTCCCATCCCGCCCCAGCGGGCGACGTGGTGGACCAAGGTGTTGATCAGTGGCCATACAGGGAGCAGGCAGCACAGTGACCGTACGTCCGTTAATGTGGGTGATGCGAGTTTCCTTCTGGGCCGTAGTGATTGTCGTGAGCTTCCGTAAGGATCCGTGCCCGAGGGCAAATGACGGCGCCCACAGCACCATAAGGCAAATGTCGACGCCTACAACACTGTTTGGGCTCTGACATGACTGGAAGGTCGCAAAGCGCCCTTCTGTCATGTCCTGACGGTACATTTCTGCAGGTGTGCAGGGTACGGTCCTCGGTATTATAGTTGACTTGAGTGCCATGCCTTATCTGCGCGCGTCGTTATAAAGGAGTCGTGCGCAGACGTCGGACGAGACGGAGCCAGTCCTCAGACGTCGAACGAGGTGGAGCCATCCCTCGGGGGTCGAGTGAGGCGGAGCCAGCCCTCAGACGTCAGGCGAGATAGAGCCAGCCCTTAGAGGTTGGACGAAGCGGAGCCAGCCCTCAAACGTTGGGCGAGACGGAGCCAGCCCCCCGACGTTGGGCGAGGCGGAACCACCCCTCAGACGTCGGGCGAGGCGGAGCTAGCTCTCGGACGTCGAGCGAGGCGGAGCCAGTCCTCGGAAGTCAGTCGAGGCAGAGCCAACCCTCGAGGGTCGGGCGAGACGGGGCCCGCGGCCGCAGCGCCCACCGAGATGGAGCCAACCCTCGGAGGTCAGACGAGGCAGGGCCCATGGTCTCGATGGCCGGACGAGGCGAGACCGGGCAAGCGGTGTAGTCGCGCTCTTGATCGCGCGGACGAATCAACGTTGATGGTCATTAGCTCCTCTTTTTCGGGTACCTTAGTATTGGTCCCCGACAGGCGCCAAGCTTAGCGTCAGGATCTACGGCGCCAAGTTTAGCGCCAGGATCTACGGCGTCGAGCTGCCTGCCAAGTCACCGCCATATCTGCGTCGAGCCCAAGACCTCGGCGTCAGCAACGGTAGCGCCGAGAAGTGTAAGCTCGGTGTTCGCAACGATGACACCGAGTTAAAGGTCCATATTTTAAAATCATACGTTCATGGCATATTTGTGAATTTTTTAAAAAAAGCTAAAAATAAAAAATACGGGCAATCATGCGCGTGGGTCCCACGTTTTGGGTCCCGCCACGTGCACCAATCGTGGCCCGGCGGCGCACGGCACCCACTTTCCCCATTCATCGAGTCTGCGCTCTTCGTCTTTCTCCGAATTCCCCTCTCCTCTTCTCGCCGGATCTCGCCACCCCCATCCCCCCATCCACCCCGCCCATGGGAGCCCCCACGCCTCGCCGCTAACCCGTGGTCCCCTGCCCCTGCCCCCTGCTCCCCCCGCCCTCGCTCCCGTTTCCGCTCCTGCTCGCCCTCGCGAACCCTAGGCTTTGCTGCTAGAAGAGCTCCAGCGACCGAAGAGGAGAGGAGAATAAAGCTCAAATCTTGGATGCGCCCGAACCGATGGCGACACCTGCCGCGGAGAAGCCGGAAGATGTAGAGATCCGCGAGGTTTGGGCGGACAACCTCGAGGCAGAGTTCGCCATGATCCGCGACATCGTCGACGACTATCCCTATGTGGCCATGGACACGGAGTTCCCCGGCGTTGTGTGCCGCCCGCTCGGCACTTACAAGACGGCGGCCGAGTTCAACTACGCCACCCTAAAGGCCAACGTTGACATGTTGAAGCTTATTCAGCTCGGGCTCACCTTCTCCAACGAGCATGGTGGGCTGCCGGCGCTCGGCCCAGACGGCCGACCCTGCGTGTGGCAGTTCAACTTTCGAGGCTTTGACCCTCGGACCGATGTGGCTGCATCAGACTCCATCGATCTGCTGCGTCGTAGTGGTATTGACTTCTCTCGCCATGCTGCTGACGGAGCTGACGCTCGCCGGTTCGCTGGAGCTTCTCATGTCCTCCGGTGTAGTATTGAATTCAGATGTGCACTGGGTGACTTTTCATAGTGGCTACGACTTTGGCTACCTGCTCAAGCTACTCACCGGCACAAATCTGCCTGATACAATGTCAGGATTCTTCGATCTCATCAAGATTTACTTTCCTGTTATCTACGACATCAAACACTTGATGAGGTTCTGCAATAGCCTCCATGGAGGTTTGAACAAGCTTGCTGAGCTGCTTGACGTCGCAAGGGTTGGAATCTGCCACCAGGCAGGGTCTGATTCGCTTCTGACAGCGCTGTCCTTCAAGAAGCTTAAAGAGGCATACTTCAACGGGTTAACTGAGAAATATGCCGGTGTGTTGTATGGGCTTGGCTTTGAGGGTGGAGAGACCACCTCTGCTCACTGAGTAATGGATAGTTAAATAAAAGATGAACTATTTATGAAAATGGAGAAATCTGTTTGGTGACTTTGTCTGATGATTTCCTTTTGCTTGCCCTGGAAAAGGTACTGTCTTTCCGCTAAGTTCTGATTTCCCCTGCAAGTTACCTTCAGCTAAGCTGTTCTATAATTTAGCTTTGTGGCTTGATGGAATGTGTTGTTGACTACTCTTTGAGGCCTATATTGATACACTGATCACCAAGTCACTAACTGAAAACTCAAACATTATTGAACTCGATAATGTTATGGTAATCAAGTTACTGTACATCAAGTCATCAACTGCGGTGCTAAATGTTATTCAGTAGCAAAAAGAACACTTAGCTTGTCCATTGATATGTGAAACCCATCAGTTCTTGTTTTACATGGTTTCTGGAGTTACCCCTTGAGTCTTTGGTGATTGTAGGCACTATTCTGAATTTCGGATTTCTATACCATTCTATAAAAGCAAGACATTATGCTGGACTTCTAATTGTAATATGTTGTTGTGTCTGTAGTTTTTAGTTCCTTAAACACAACGCAACATATTCCTATCGTTTTTGCATCATTTTTGGGAGTTCAACAGGAAGAAAACAGAAACCATCTGATAAGAAAAAGCTCATACCACATAAGAGGACTTAACTAATCAGTATGAAGAGAACTTGCATAATGTGATAAGGAAACTCCATGGCCTCACATAATGTTAGATGCTTAGATCGCTTATAAGAAATCCATTCTCTGTTTGTTTCAGTTTGGACATCTTGAATATGATCTCTTAGTTGCCTTGAGTTTCATTATGCTGCAGTTCATCAATTCACAGCGTTCTTGCTTTTTCTGACGCATATTGTACTGGTTTGCATACTGTAGAGTGTACCGTAAAAGTTTGAATTTCATTATGGGGACATGCTGTTCTTCTTACTAGATGTCATGGTTTCATGCCACATTCTGTTTCTATGTTAACTACGATGAATACATCTTGTACAGTGTGCACACTGTTAAATCATAGCAGCTTGATTATACGCTGTCATAGAGCATCTTGCTTCAATGGTATTGCCATGATATGGGCATGTGCCACTGTACGGTTCTCTGTTTGTAGTATTGTTGGTATTGCCAATTTCTTAAGCTTCTATTTTGTATATTGTTACCTCCTCTTTAATGCAGATAATACATGGAGAATCACCTTTTCTTTTCCTGCCTGGATTCTTCTTTTGATATTTGCCTTATTGTTTTAGATGGAAGTTCTCTTGTTAATAAATTGAAAGTCTTACTGCATTAGGCCTGGAATGTATCGTTTCACTTCCTTGCACGGAGATACCTGTGCTCATGATTACTGATAAAAAAAAAAGAACTGTCTTTGAATAATTGAATATTGGAGAAATCTGTTTGATCTTTATTTGTTTGTTGATTTCCTTTTTATTGCTACTGAAAATGTGTCATTGAGATTTCCCCTGAAGTCATATTTAGATTGTTGTTGAGAGAGTTTCTGCTATCCGATTTTACTCTGTGAATTTGATGGAATGCACTGGGGCAACTTGATACTAATTACTTGAATCAATCCAACAGCTGCAATGGAATTTTTCAATAGTCAAAGAACCACTTACTTTGTGTGTAAGAATAGGGGTGGATAGCGAGCCAACTGAACTTTTTTTTTTCGAGTTCTCTTTGAAATTGACATAATCTTATTTATCATAGTCTCCTGAATTGTTTGAGACCTGACTTCAAACCGAGCCAAAGTCAAAAGTAATTCAAAATCAAGTCATTTTTATTTAAAAAGAAAAACGAGTTCAATCAAAGCAAAATTTGAAATGAGTCACCGAGCCAGCTCAATGAGTAATTTTGAAACTAAGTTTATTGATTATATTTACATAGTTTTGCATATTTATTTTCCCTTTTCTATTTCTTTCCCTTTTTGTTGGTGGCTCTTGTTGGATCTCGACTCTAGCCTAACCCAACTTGCTTGGGACTAAAAGGCTTTGTTGCTGTTGTTAAAAATATATACTACCATCCGTTGCATGCGGATGCAATGAATACCAATTATAAACTCATCCTCATTCCTGACTGGTTTGATATAATCTCAGAAATTGGCAAAAGTAAATCCCTTCTCTAATAACTTCAATGTGAACATTTTGAACTAGCTTTTGATGCGGATTGTATCTGGTTGGCTCTATAATTGTGCTTGTGATTGGTTCTCCAATTTCTGTTTGCGTTTCTTGGACTTGTACCATAGCGCCTGTGCCAGCACTATGCTGTTCTGCTATGGGGTTGAGTACATTCTGCAAACACTGTTACATCATTATTGGTTATGATTATCAGAGTTGTTGTGGACGACTGGACATGTATATGCCAGTATATAGCTCTTTGCATGGTCTTGCTCGTATGATGGTGTTGCCAATTTGCCCTTTCTGTCTTTCAGGTTAATGTCATTTTTACTATCTGAAATGATTTCTCTTGTGCCGCCTTTTCGCCTTATTGTTTTAGATTCGATGGCTTATATGTAAAGCTGTGGCAAGCATTGGATGTATCCTCGTCCTGTTTTTCAGCACTACTTTAGCAGTACTTTTAAGCGAACGATGTTTTCCTCTCACAACAAATCAGCATAAGCAGCAGCATAAGCTAAATTTCAGCAAAACGAAGACTATTGAGCTAGCATTACCCATATACCAGACTATTAGGTGTGCATCTGAGCTTGCCCTGGACATAATGTTACAAGTTGGGGATCACAGATCTTTTGGTGATGCCATTGGTCCTGTTCGCTTCGCTGAAAAAACAAGTTGAAACACTGTTCCGGCTGATTTGTTGTGAGAGAAAAATACTGTTCCGGCTAAAAAAACAAGCTGAAAAAGACGGATTATAAGAGAAGCGAACAGGGCCATAATCACTTGTGTTATGACCGGCCTGCGGTACTCCAGGCGCCAAGTTAGTGGCTAATAAGCCATAGTATTTATTTCGTGATTTATATTATTAGCATATAACCCAAGGGGTTAATTAGCAAAAGGATTATTCATTAGCATAAATACCTGTAATCAGGATTACTGGAGATCAAGTAGAAACAGATTGTTTTCGGCTTCCTAAAGGGAGCCGGGAGACCTAAACCCTAGCCGCCGCCTCCTCCTGTTCGCCTGAACTAGCGAGACCTAAACCCTAGCCGCCGCCGTCTCCTGTTCGCCTAAACTCGCGTGACCACGACGCCCCGCCGCCGCGCGACGTTCAAACCTCGCCCTCCAATCTCCCACAGCTACAACCTCCGATCGACGAGACACAGAGGACCGCTGCCTATTAACCTGGTATCAGCGTTCTCGGTTCCGATGTCGACCTCGCTGCCCACCTCCACCACTCCACCGTTGGCCACCAACGCCTCGCGCCATGCTGCGACTGTGGACGTCCCAAATTGTGCTGCCATGGAGCCCTATCGCTTCGTTCCGGGACCTCACTTGCCGATGGCAGCGGGCGTCTCCCTCCACCATTAGCGTCATCTCGAACGCATAATTGACGGCAGCAGTGCTCGACCTTGGCTAGATGGTGGCCGGGATTCATGGGTTTCTTTTGGGACCGTAAGGACCGCAGCCGAACCCGCCACCGCCGCCCACGCAGCAACAACTGCTGCCGCCGCCGCCCCAATCTTCGGCCGCCCTGTACCCCTACGGGATGCCACCCGACGACACGGCGTCCACCACAACGCCGGCGCCGTCGGTTCCCCCCGGTGGTGTGCCGATCCAGCAGATACCCTTTCCCCACTCGCCATCTCCATTGCCGCCATGGCTCACGGCGTCCTCGGCCCCGATCTACTCCACCGCGTCGCGCGCGCACTTCGATCCCGCCGCCCGACGTCACCTTAGGCCTCGGCCATGGGGGCGTTCCTACGTCGGGCACCCTCTACGGCGGCGTCGACGGGTCGCTCTTCCACGGCTCCAGCCTCGTGCCGCACGCTACCGTACCCCAAGACCATGGCGTTGGAGATCGACCGACTTTCCAAGGGCTACAAGCTCGAAGCTTCTTCACGACATATGACGGCTCCGCCGATCCATTGAACTCGCTCTCACACACTGCTGAGCGGTTTTTTACCGCAGGCCGCACGCGCCGCGCGGCGCAGCGGACGTGGATGGCCGCATACCACCTCACCAGCGCCGCTCAAACGTGGTACTACGCCCTCCTACAGGATGAGGGCATGCCTTCCTGGGAGCACTTCAAGGAGCTGTGCCGCCTTCGCTTCGGGCCATCCATCTATGGCTCGCGATTGGCCGAGTTGGGTCGCCTGCCGTTTAACTCCACGGTCCAGGAGTTTGTGGACCGTTTCCAGACGATACTCGCGCACTCCAGGGACCTCTCTACGCGCCAGAAGGCGAAGCTCTTCGTCGGCGGTCTCCGGAACATATTCGGGTTGGCGTCGCGCGCGCTCACGCCCGACCCTCTAGATGGCGATGTTCTGGCCGCCTTTGAGAGTCGCGCCACGGCCACGCCACCCTACTCCAAATAGCGCGCTCATCCATCATCCACCGCCACGGCGGGCCTTCCTCCACATCCTCGGCGGCGGCGGCCCCGCCGAGCTTCGAGCCGCCGCTTATGCGTGAGCATGCCGCGCGCGCGGCGAGCCGTGGAACCAAGCGGCGGTCGGCGCGCTTTTGCTCGCGGCGCCACGCGCACCGCGAGGCCGTTCCGCCGCCTTTCATCGGCCGAGATGCAAGAGCGCCATCACCAAGGCCTCTGTTACAACTGTGACGAGCAGTATGTGCGTGGGCATGTGTGCCCCACTGTTCTACTCGCGGCGGACGACTTCCGGCGGCGGATTTCGACGCCGCCACCGGGGGCGCGCGGCCGCGGTTTTGCCCAAGGCGAGCGCGTCGATAGGGCGGCGCTTAACGCTCACGCTCTTGTGGTCTCTATGCACGCTCTTGCCGATCCGGACCTACCACACGATGCTCCTTCCGGTGACGATCAAGGCGGCGCCTCCTCCTTTGTTGGACACCGGCTCCACCCACACCTTCCTCCTGTGCG